CGTGGTGGTACCGACTATAGTGCGCTTGGGACATGGCTCCAAGGGTGGTGTTCGACTACGCTGTGCTGTATTTTTTTTTTTTTAAGGAGTGCAGTAGGGTGCGATCAACAACCTTGAGGCATGCTTGGTGGTCGGTGTGGTGAATAACGTTGTGTAACACTTGTGAATCAGTTGGGACGCACGTGTGAGGTTATTTTTTTTTTTTTAGACCACATGACGCAATGCGCTGGCCAGGAGGACCAGTTGGGGCGCGAGCAGGCGATGTAGTGACCATTGCGATTCACGACATTTGCGCTTTCAGCATTCGTGGCTCCCTTTTTTGTGGGGGGGAAATACACAGAGTGAGCGGTTTTTGTAACCGAGACCATGCAGTGCAATGGTTCGTGGCGTGAGATGATTTGGGACCACTTGGGACTAGTTGGCACTGATGTACTAATGTGGGGCCCGTGGATTGTTTTGGGGTCGTGCGTGGCTTGTCATTTTCACACATGAATTTACCGCTTGTGGGGCGTGCGAGTTAAGGACGGACTGAGACTAGCGGTTGGTCCAAGACTAGCCTCGGGACTGCGGTTTTCTTCGCTGACACTTACTTTTCTAGTTTACTTTCTTGAGTAAGTCAGAGCACGTTCGATACTATTTCACTCAAGGTCATTTAAATGAATTAGACTCTCCTTCAGAACCTGGTTGTCAAAGTCAACTTTTCGCTGACAGCTCAATAAGATTTTTTTTGTTCATCGAGTTCGACCAGAGTTGGTTGGGTTTTTATTTCGGTTTTGCATTATTAGTTATACCATGTGGTGCTCAGTTTCTTTCAGTTATCGTTTCAACTTATGTTGAATTGTATATACATGCTTATGGACTACGATCAATTCGTTTTTATGTAATTGAGTGCAATTATTATCATTTTTTTTTCGCTAGTGCTTAAGGAACTAGGATTGAGTTGTGGGGTTCACGTTTGGTTGAGGCCGACCTAGTCGACCGATGTCCATTTTATACCTAGGAGATCATCGTCATAGGAACGGACAATGTTCGGGTCCATTTGGCGTTTAACCAAGTGTTTCCTATACTGCAGCGAAAGGAGCAAATGCCCTTAGCTGACCTACCTCGACGACTACATGTAAAAACTTTCGCAAGTGGGTCGGTAGCTCGGTAGGGATACACCCCTAAGGGTGGTGACAACCTGTTGCTTTGTGCCCCGCAAAAGCCTATCTTGTCGTAGGGGATCGTGAGAAGTAAGGCTGACCCACCCGATTAGAGCGGCGAAGGGACGACGAAGCCATGACCGTCTCAGCGGTTGGCAGGGTTGTTTTGTATTGTCCCTAAGTTGTCTCTCATTCTTGTTAGTGTAACTCCTACGTGACATGGTTGGGAGAGTTTTCGCCTTTTGCGAAAAAGGCGAGAGCGGATGCACTTGACAATGCAACTTACAAAAAAAAAAAAAAAAAAAAAAAAGTTCAACAAGGAGATCAAATATTTATTCAAGTCTTCCACGAGACAAATTATACGGGTGGATTGGAGAAAAAAAGGCAGGAGCTCTTCAGGTAAGTGGTTTGGAGAAACACTGGGCGTTGTTGGAAAGCTAGCAAAACAAGAAGGGGGCAAACTTCAAGTTATATTGGACAAGTGGTTATAGGAAAAGTAGGCTAGATTTAGGAATTTGGGTACTCGGTTCTTACATCCACAATAGGAAGGCAACTGGGATGAAAGTGGAGGGTGCCAAAATAATAGAGTTAGGTCCTCCATTTGGAGACCTGTTGCCGTTTCCGACAGCCACCATAAGGGTTGATAGTAGGTTAGAGTAGGGACTTAGGGTAGATGGTTTGTTTGGTCTCGTCTTGGCTTTGACTTGGTATTATTATTAAGGCGGTCGGTTGTTGAGGTGGTTAGGGAATATTGTGTTTTTCTTATTTTCTTCATGCTTCATACTTTTCAACGCCCTTTTCCTTTTGGTTTGTTTAACTACCAGTATCTTCACGTTCTTAGGCCGTTAGCGCGGTGACTGAATCGGCCTGCCACGTGGGGCTGTATTCATTTGTGTCAGAGGGGGCCTAAGAATGCAACAGATACTGGTGGTTTAAGCTTTGCAGGTTTGAGACGCTCTTTATTTTTTGGAGAAGTTTCAGGACAGCAGCCCAATGTTGGCTAATTCAGTGCCCAAACTATTCTTCTCCGCAACCTGTGTTGGGTGAACCTTTCGCTTGTAAGCTAAACTGGCTAATGCTGCCAGGATAACTCCGGGTTGAATTTTTAGGTCCCCGTCCTCGTTTTGCCCTGAATAATACGAAGTTGTTCTAAGCGGGAAAAAAGAGAAGAAAACCTCTTGAAGTGTCAAACATTTGGTTTCAAGAGTTTTCGAAACACTCCTGCCTCCCAGCCTGCACTGCTCACATTTTTGAAAGAGCTTGCGGCCGACCTCGAATACCTCTCCATTCTCGAGATGTGTCAGTGTCGTTATCCTCACAATAGTGTTTTTTATTTTTATTTTTATTATTTTCATTTCTTCTAGTGCCTACGAGATTCAAGAGCGCTGTGCCAAAACTCTGTGTGCATGGGCTCTTGAAAATTTATGAGACCTCTTGAGTTACTTCGCTGTTTCGAGAGTGGCATGGCGAGGCCTGTAGTCTTGAGAACATTGTTATCTCAACTCTCCACTTTTGCTCCAGATGTCCTGGACTTCATTTGAATTCGACTTCTTGGCTGGAAGTCTGGCTGTGCTACTCACCACGCGTTTGGTGCAATCTGCGGTGTAGTCCGAGCCTTAGAAGGTGGGGGAAAAGTAGGGTGGAGGCGTATACCACCCATTCCTTTTTTGTTTTCATGAGGGTGTGAGCATGCGGTCACATGTGGGGAGTGTTGAAATGATGCCCAACGTGTGGGGTTAACCCCTTCAGAAAGAAAGACAAAGAAGGCCCCTAACCCCTTCGGAAAGAAAGAAAAAAAGGCCCCTACAACAGGCCAAGGCGGTCGATCTATCAGGGGTGCCATGGCTGCCCAGCGTGTGAGGACAAGTTGCTCGTGTCGATGGAGAACTGGTTCTCCAAGACAACGGGGCTTGCTCGACCGCACAACATAAACATTGAACGTATCTGTTCCTCGCCGTGGTCCCGATACACTCATATCATAATTTCCGATGAGTCCGAGTGTATCTAATCCTCATGCGGCTCGGATTCATGTCAAATGTTGAGTAGTGGAGCGAGACCGAGTGGCAACCGAGTGGCAGTACCGTTAGGTTCTTCGCGTCTTCACGCCTTGCCGAGTCCCACATGCCCGACCGTCATCCCCCGAGCACAACGCACCCTGATCTTGGATGTATACAAGCGATCTTTCCGGTCCGGTGCAGCCAAAATGAGGGTGCGGTGTGTTCGGCGGACGACAGGTGGCCGAGTCCTGCCCTCCCTTTCCATTGAGCGTCTTCGCCATGGCCATCCATGCCCATGCCGGTCCCGTGGTTGTGCCGTGCCGGTCCCGGTCCCGGTCCGGTGCTTGTGCCGTGCCAGTGCCGCCGGGCCTTACCGTGCCAGTGCGTGGTCTTCCCGCCTGTTCTTTTGCCGCTCCAGTCTGGTATTCCGTGCCTCTCGCCGTGTGCGGACTGCGCGCCGATTGCTGCTTCCACTCAAGAGTGTCTGGGCGTGCAGTTGCAGATTGCAGAGGGTACAGGACCGTGCACGGTTCAGAAGTGAGAGAAGTGGGTGAGGCCCACCTTCGTCTCTCTTCACCCAGGGAAGCCGTTAGGGGTGTGGCCGGGAGGTTGAAGAAGACGCTTCCGGCCACGCTTGTGCTCCCTAGGTAGGCGAGGGCCTCTCGCGTCTGTCGCACCTCCCTCCTATCTCCTCTGCTCCCCCCTTCCTCCCTATCGCTTTCCTCATTCTCTCCTCTCCCTCCCGCCCTCCCGCCCTCACCTCCCTCACATTGCCCACCCCCCTGACCTCATCTGCTGAACCCCTTGTCTCCCCGCGCGTCTTCTCGCCGCGCACGCCTTTGTCTCCCCTTTCCAGTCCAAGGCACAACTTCAACCCTTGTTGGAGCGTCCTAGCACCGTCCGTCGACTGTTTTGCAATCGTTCAGTTCTGGAGGGACTGGCGGGGCTGCTGGATTGCCGCGCTCTCTTCATCGCGCCACGTTTTCGGACATTCCGAGTCTCTCTTTCTTCCCTCTTATCTCTCTCTCTCTTATTGGCGCTCTTTTCTCTCTCTGTTTTCCCTCTTTGCTCTTTTCTCGCCACGTCAGCCATCGCCACGTCATTCGGAGTTGTTGTCTTTGCGTCACGCACGCCGCGCGCCAAGGGGTGATGATTGCTCTCTCGAAAATAATCCCCGCTACTTTTGACCTGTCGTCGGGCGACAGGAAGTGGACTTAACGATACGAAATAGCGGCAAGAACTGGCTGATCGGCTGCCTCCCCTGAGGAGGAGGCCATTGAAGATGAGATAAGCCGAGCCTGGCGATCGGTGTCCCTGCCATTCGTCTTTTCCCCTCTCGCCTTTCGCCTCCCGCATCCCGCCTACCGCCTCCCGCCTCTTCTCTCATTGTGTCTCTACCGTTCCCCTGCTGTATCATCTGTGGTTGTTGGGGTGATTGGTCCGACGACCGGTCGGTCGAGTGCCCCTGGCCACACCGTTGATCTTACACTTCCCGCTACTGCCAGGGAGGACCTGGCGTGTGCACATTCTCGTCCGTCCTCCTTGGCACGCCGATGATCATTGCCACGGGCGATTGATCCGACGACCGGTCGGTCAGTAACAGAGTCTTTTCCCACTTTGATAGAAGCCAATCGGAATCCGCGAGGAAGCTCGGTACAACGCGAGGAAATCCAGGAGGGAACGCCACGTGGCGCGCGGAGGTGGTATCTTGTCGAGTGATTGGCCGTGAGCATCTTCTGGCTTCTGGCTCCTGCGTGGGGTTTGAGCAGAGTGAAGAAGTCGTGGTCGCTCGCCCACGTGGGAGGTCGACGGACGGTGTTGTAGCCACGTGGCACGTGGCACTTGGCGATTGGAAACGTAAGGGGGGGGGCTGAAACGTGGCCAAAAATGGCGGGAAGTACTCTAAATTCGCGCCAAAGGAGTAACCGAGCCCGATTCGTTCGCCACGTATGCAGATCGTGGCTGCCGCTGATGGCGCGCAGCGGACCTGGGTCTAAGCAAAGGAGGACCGTATGCTCATTACCTACATTCGCCCCCTTTTTACCCGGTGGAACTACGCAATCAAGCGCGCTGGAAAACGGTCCAGGAACGTCGAATCTTGGCGAGCGTCTAGTGGGAGCGGAGGTTGAGGAGGGAACTTCAGAATCCCACAAGAGGGAGCGCGTAACGGATGGGGAAGAAGACGACGGAGGTGCTTTCTCCCGCAGGCGTGGGCTGAAGAGGAGGAGGATTATGCTGATTTCAGACGACGAGGAGGTGGAGGGGTCAAGCGGGGAGGAAAAGGGGGGCGTGTCGAGTACAAGACGGGAGGGAGAGGTCGTTGGGGAGATGAATGTGGAAGAGGATGGAGAAGAGAAAGTGGACGTAAGGTCGAGGGGGGCTGAGGAAGTCGACGCCCGTGCGACGACGACCGGCAAGAGGATCCGACGGAAGAAGAGGAGTAGGGAGCATCAGCAGCACAGAAGATCAAAGCAGCAGAGAGGAGCCAAAGTGGACCAAGGAGAGGAAGAGGGGAATGGTGGTGATGTTGATGATGGCGGCGAGATCGACTCCTCAATGATGTCTCCTTCAGCGAATGGGACTGGAGCTAATGCAGGGGGGGGGTGCAATGGGAGCAGCAGTAGTGGCAAGGAAAGGAAAAGAAAGAGCAAGAAGAGAAGAAGCAGGGTGGGTGGGGAAGTGGTAGGCAGTGCGAAGAGGATAGCGGGGAAGAAGTCTACAACAACAGCAGCAGCAGGGGCAACACGTGGCAGCAGCAGCAGCAGCGGCAGCGGCAGCATCACGGAAGAGACCCTGGTAGCCAAGCATTGGAAGCCGAAGGCGAGAGTGGTAAAGGTGAAGATCTGTGGGTTCCAGAGAATGTGTATCAAGGTAGAGTACAGGCCAGGGGTATTCAAGAGGTTTTTCCCGCACAAAGTGGGAATGAAGGCGGCAAAGGAGATGGCGAAAGAGTGTGTGAAAAAAGCGCGGGAATTGGTGAAGGCGGGAGCAATTGGGCAGAGGTGTGCGATCTGCCAAGGAGCGCTGAAGAACGCGAAAACGATCGCCAAGCTGGAAGAGTGTGGACATCAATACCACAGGAAGTGCTTGATGCAGTGGGTGGAAAAGCAGAACACGTGTCCCAATTGCCGCGTCCGGATTCAAAAGCTGGATGGCAAAGTGGTGGAGAATCGGGATCTGCGAGTGGACTTAGGAGGAGCCTTCCCGGCGCCGCAGTATGAGAACCTTCTCTGCCAGATCTGCAACCTGGGAGATCGACCCGACAGTTTTCTGATCTGCGATATGTGTGATGCGTCTGGCTGCCATATGGAGTGCTTGGGTCTACTGTCTGTTCCAGAGGTTTGTCGGACGCGGCTGGCAGGCATACGTGTGTGTGTGTGTGTGTGTGTGTGTGTGTGTGTTCGTGCGTGTGCAACCGTTTATCATTCTCTCTCTCTGGCCTCTTTCCCACGTCTCTCCCGCGTCTTTCGCTCAACCCCCGCTCCCTCCCCTCCCCTCTTCGTGTGCTCCTGCAGTTCTTCCTGCCTCTGTGTGCCTGAACGACTTCTGTGTTCGCCCACGGTGGGTTTTGTTTTCTTACTACTATCTGTGGTTCCGCGCGTTTGGTTGTACCATTGTGGATATATCGTGCATGTGTCTCAAGGGGGCACATGCTGTGAGAGAGAGAGAGAGAGAGAGAGAGAGAGAGAGAGAGAGAGAGAGAGAGAGAGAGCGGGT